AACATACCCAGGGGAGTGGGCCTAAGCCGCAGTCTGGCCTCCCTCTGCAGGAGGTGACCAGGCTGATCAAGGGAAGACGCCGCCCCCATCACCCCACTGCTGCTGCCACTGCCGGCCGCGGCAGCTGCGAGGCCTGAGCCCTGGGCCTCACAGCTGTCGGGGCTCACAGTTGCCTGAGCCCACGGTTGCCGTGAGCCCATGGCTGCCTGAGCCCCGGGCCTCGCAGCCGCTGTGGCTTTGTCCGGACGGACATCCGGAAGATGTCTGCCCTAATTAGCATATTATCCTTTTATTAGTATAGATAGCATCCCTCAGATTTTTTAAGCGATTGTGATCACCAAAAAGGTGAAGAAGTGTTATTCTGAAGGATAGTTCTGCATCTGCTCATTTACCCAAGTTAGTTAAACTGAAATTACAAAAGCCTTTAATCAAAACAGTAGCCCTAGCCAGTTTGGCTCAGTGAATAAAGCGTCGGCCTGCAGACCCAAGGGTCCAGAATTCGATTCCAGTCAAGGGCACATATCTTCGTTGTAGGCTCCTCCCCGGCCTGGGCCCTGGTCAGGGCACGTGCAGGAGGCCACCAATCGATGTGTTTCTCTCACATCGATATTTCTCTCTAAAAATATCATGGAAAAGTATCCTCTAGTGAGGATAAAAAAAAAATAAGTCTGGGTCGGCAAATGTAGCTACGAAGTTGTTTCAGACAGATTGTATTAAAAATATTTAAGCTAGAATGTAGAGACCTAAAAGACAAAAAAAAACACAACAAGCTACAGACATAAATTACCCGATTATGGGTAAACCTAGAAATTCAAAAGGGAAAAATGTGGCAAGCAGGGCTGGGCCTCTCTAAGGTAATTACTTTAATACAATCAGCACCAAGGGGAAACAGTATTCTGTTGCAATCTATTGACAGTATGAATAATTAAAAATGTGATTAAAGAGTGACTTCAAAAGTATATTCTGCCTGGCCAGTGTGGCTCAGTGGTTGAGTGTTGTCCTATGAACCAGGAGGTGGTGGTTGATTCCTGGTCGGGACACATGCCTGGGTTGTGGGCTGGATTCCCAGTAGAGGGAGTGCCAGAGGCAGCCAATCAATGACTCTCGCCCACTCCCTTCCTCTCTGAAATCAATAAAAATATATTCTTAAAAAATGTATATACTGTACTGATTTCCAGAATGTTCAGGATTATAAGAGCATCTCAGAAGTATTACAGAAACAGAAAAAATTATTTTTAGCACCATTTCTAAATGGGGGACTAGTCACTAGAAGTAACATGTTGCAGAAACAAATGAGGTTTCCATTCCATGCCTCACACTCCTGTCTTCATTACTGAGACAGAGCAGCTTTCCTAAGCTGTCGCAAGGTTATGTTGAGATTTAAAAGTAAAGTTTAACTTGAATCTTATCCACTTCATTAGCCAGAATTTAAGGTCATCTGCATTTTGCTCTGTTATACTTAAAATACTCATGTACATAATGTTAAATGCTCTGTTTTTGTTTTTTTTTAAATATATTTCTTATTGATTTCAGAGAGGAAGGGAGAGACAGAAACATCAATAATGAGAATTATTGATCAACTGCTTCCTGCACACCCCACACTGGGGATCAAGCCCACAACCCGGGCATGTGCCCTGACCGGGAATCAAACTATGACCTCCTAGTTCATAGGTCAATGCTCAACCATTGAGCCACACTGGCTGGGCAATGCTTTACTGTTTTAATTCACATAAGCCATTTTAACTGTTTGGTTTGAACAGTGAAGGTCTATGGTATGTCAAATGTTATGATTTTTTCAGGGCACAAAAACTGTAGTGAGGGAAAATGCTACAGGATTTAGAATTCTTGTACAGTGGAACCTCAAACTTTGAGCATGGGCAGTTGAAAATGTTTGAGTATATATTAAGCGCAAATTGACTGCTATTTTTGTCCTTGGGAATCTTAACAGTTTAGCAAACAACCACAGGGGAAAATGTCTGCTGTAGAGATAATGCAATAGCAGGGTACTTTAAATGAAGGGCAAATACATCCACTTGGGAGGTGGGGGAAATTGTAGACTTTTAAAAGGCTACTTACCACTAAAAGGCAGGTTGATATTGAGATTTGCAGACCAAGAGGCAGGGAAAGCATTCCAAGGAAAAGGAACCACCATGAACAAAGCAGAGACATCATCTGGGGCAAGCCCTGTGGTTCTCAAGCTTTCCTTCCCTAACCCCTCAAAAACAACAAAAAACAAAAACCCAAAACAAAACAAACCCCACATATAATGGATAACACATTTCCAACGGCTGGATTTGGCTGAATGCTTGCCCTGTTCTCCCAAATTTGCAGGCAAATAAAGCATCCAACAACCTGTTAAAATTTTTTAACTACCACAGCTTAGCCTTTTTTTTTTTTTTTTTAAAGAAAGGGTTTATAAGACCAATTTTACACACACACACAAAAAAAGACTTTTTGGGGTATGGAATTTAAACCACCCCAGCATGGATAGGTCGGAGAGACAATATGTCTGTCTTCTCCCTGGGGTTTTGCAAGCATTTTTATAGATCAGGTAGGAGAAAAAAAGGTATTTAAGCCATTCTGAAAGGATTTATATTACTAGTAGCTATAGACAAAGAGAATGGACAATGGTAAGAGGGGCTAATTCCAGGATGTGCAAGAGTCTGAAAGGAAGTGTGGGCTCCTAAGGATTGGGAAGTTCATGTGCAAATAAGTGGAGGCTCCTGGATTTCTGCAGTACCTGGCTGCAATCCTTTTAGATAATCCAGAAATAGCCACCTGGAAATTAATTCTAAATTCCAACAGATATACAGGAATGTGAGCAATCTTTTGTGAGAGCTGTTCCACAGCTGTTTTGTCTCTTTCTCTCACTCTGTGGAAGCTGTAATTTTAATTTAGAACATCTCAGAATTTTTTTGGTAAAATCCTAACTGGCAGGCTAGACTCTTGTTGCTGCTCTTGGAGTTAGCTTTACAGTTCTCTACTGAAGGGAGGAAGATAAGTGATTACTTTTTAACAAACTTGAGTATTTTACTATTAGTAAAAACAGTTGGACAGTGGAAGTTAAGACTCAAGAAGTTAAACTGAGAATCTCAAAAGCCAGGCTGTGATATTTGGACTCAGGCTCATTAGTTTTATTCAAATTATTACCATTCTTGAATCTCAATTTGCAACTTGCTGAGGTTGCAAAATGAAGCAAAAATCTCAACATGAAATTATATGTTGGCTAATCTTTCCCTGGTGAAAGTTAAATATTATGAACACCATTTATTTTCAGCCAAATAATAGACATAGGAGCTCAAATCGTAAGCAAAGCATCTGATTGACAAATGAAGGTCAGGCAGTTAGTCACTGGGTAGAGAAATCAACAAGGCACTATGAAAGAAATTAACTGGGAGAGGATCAGTGTTTGCAAAAGTAACTTTATGATTGTGTGTTAAAGTCAAACGTTTATCAAATGCTTGGACATGTCTAAGATGCCACTACATTCTTTCAGATAATTGCATAGAAGTGATTATAATGAACAGAGACTCAATTAGTATAGTTCTATTTGATAGTTTTGGTTATAATCATAAGACTAAAATTTAGGGCTTTTTATAGGTAGTATTTTGATTAATCCTTATTTTGTATAGTTTATGGTAAGATTTTTGGACATCAAATAGATTCACTTTAAGCGAGCTTTTCTTTGCTGATGATTATCCTCAGATAAATGAAGACTTCCTGTACTTAATAAGTACAGGAATGATGGAAAGGCACTGAAAGTTTGTGTGTGTGTGTGTGTGTGTGTTTGGCAGGGGTGGAGGTTAAGCTGAGTAAAAGTGAACTGGCTGTTAATTACCCTTGGGAAGTTTAATGGGTTACAGGAAAGAAACTTTTGGAATAGCAGAGGTCTAGGGTGGTAGCCGTCAAAAGAAAAGATTGACTTCCTTGAAGATGAGCCTTTATTACTTTTCCTAAAACAGTTTCTGTGGAAGGGGTCTCCAAAGCTCATTCTAAGATGATCTTAAAGGACATTGGGATATCAGAAGAAGAAAGGGGTGGTGCACTGTTCAAATTTGGACTCACTAAGTTTAAGATTTTGGCTAGATTTCCAAGTGGAGGAAACCAGCAGGTAGTTGGAAATATTAACATAGAAGGATCAGTCATGTTATGGATTCAGAGAAAATGTCTTTTTCCCCCATTATTTAATCTGTAATTGCACAATAACACCCAATCATTTGGCTAAAGATGTTTTTTTGACATGCATGAGAAAAAGCAACTATTTCCATTGTTGTAAAGGTTTTATTGAAGAAACTTAATGAATATAAACACTTTATGGCTAAGTAAAGACAAACACTGTGGCTAAAAAATAGTGAAAGTGAATTTTGCTGAATCCATTAAAAATACTGGAGTATCTGTTTGGAGTGTCAATGTATTTGAAGCTGGTTAAATGTGTAACAAGTTATATTAAATCGGTTGTAATACTAAAGTCACTGAACAAACCTCCACACTAAAGTTTCCTGGGCTATTACTGTATTACTCCTTCCAGAGTGACTATGTTTTGGGTTTCTTCCTCCTATACATCTATTAATTCCTATTTTCAAGAGAAAATACCTTACCCAAATTCACCAGTGCTAACATTTCCTTCGCTGTAACCTATTGATTCCTAGGTTAATCCCAACAATATTTGAGTGACTGCCCCACCTGGCATGAGGTTACTATTGGTCTGGTACCATTCTCCGAACATATGTGGAATATTGCTTCTTTTTCCCCTTCAAAACAGAAAGGACTGCATGATCGTGGATCTCAGAATTACTTAGGAACCACTACCGCTGCCCTCTCCCTTAACAAACACTGCAACATTATAACCTATGTACCTCTGCTTTGAAACTATATCTTTAAAGGAAAAGAGCCTGCAACATTTTTGAGAAAAACAAAACATGAAACAAATGCATATCCCCGAGCGGAATAATTTCCAACTCCAGGCAGGCAGAGGACCTAGTAATTACTCTAATGAATACCTTTTAGAGAGGCCTGCAGTCGGCTCTTCCTTTTCCAATTTAAAACTGCTTAGATGGAGCAGTCAGGTGTGAAGTTTTTAAGGAGACCTCTAACAGGCGCGTCTTTAGGCACAGGTGCCTGGGGTAAGCCCAAGGCGAGTCAAGGGCCAGGTTTCTCAGCAGCTAGTCCTTTCTTTCGTTCTTTAAAAGAAACAAAAGTGAACTTCCTTCATAGTCTATTTTCTGGGCGCTACTGGATACCCCGTTCCGGAAGGAGTAGGGAAAATAGATGATAGGGTGACGGGGAGGGAGGAGGCAAAGGAATGACATTGGAAGTTAGACCAGGATTCTGCCAGTCCTATTATCCCGGCATGGCACGGACACTGACGGAACCAGGCTTCTCCTGCTGTTTTTGCGGGGCTGGTGTAAATGAACCCGACGCTCACAGGAGAAACCTCTCTCCTTCCCTGTTTTCCAAACGTACCTCTCCTCTTATACTCCCAAGTCTCCCTCCCTAGGGCCGCACAGATGGGGTTCTTGCCTAATCTCTCCTAACTCCCCTCACGAAAGAAGCGGGGTCACTCCCCTCCTCTCTGCAGATGCTTCAACCACCGCACGCAAATCAATATTTAACTGTGATATTCCTGACTTCTCTACACCGGACAGCCCACGCTCTTCTACTGCGGCCCGCGGATCCCCCTAGGAACGTGGCCCTCCTTTCCGCGCCTCCGCGGCCGCCGCCCCTCGCTGCCCAGGACGCGAGCCTGTGCACGAGCCGCAGCGGCGCCGGGAGAGGCGCGCGTGGCTGCCCGCACGCTCCAGGAGAGCGCCCGCCCTCTCCCCCCACAGGTCTACTACGTGACTGGCCCGCGCCCAGTTACCTACTCCAAGGTGGGGGGGGTGAAGGGAAGGAAGACGAAAGAAGATGCACGAGTCCGAGGCTGCAGTCTCCAGGGAAGCCGGTGCCACCGCATGAGACGTAGCCGCGCTCGCAGTTATGAGGATACGCACGCGCGCCCTCCCGGCACCCGTCCAACCCACGCCGGGACGGAGCCTTAGCCGATTACCTTCCGGGGCAGTGCGCCTCTAGGAGGGAAGCGGGCGGGCACTTCTGAAAGTCTCCTAACTCTTCCGGGACGCCTCTCGGGGAGCGGACTCGGGTGTTTGTGTGCGTGTGCAAGCGCGCTCTGAAAGTACGCCCCACAATTCTCCCCCTCTGCTCCCTTCCCTGCCACTTCCTCCTTGCTGTAGGGACCGGAAGAGTTCTTGAGCCAAAATAGCTCGGCGGGCACTTCCGGGGCTGGAGAAGTAGGTTCCGGGAGGTGCTGGACGCAGAGGCAGCAGCGGCGGCTGGAGGATGAAGAAGGAGCAGGTGCTGCACTGTCAGTTCTCCGCGTGGTACCCACTCTTCCGAAATATCACCATCAAGAGGTAACTCAGGAGGGGCCTACTCCGGGACCATGGCAAAAGGAAATTGCGACATTTGGGGCAAATTCTATATCCATAAAAAAATGCCTAAGTAAAAAATGCAGGCCTTTGTGGGATGGGAGCGCCAAAGCCGAGATTTCGACTTCCTAGTGATATTTCAGGTGGGGAGATTAATGAAGTCGATCCGTATTTGCTGTGCGTTCTGTTGCGGGTCAGAGAGTGTGCCAGAAGGTTATGTCACGGCTCAGAGAAGGTCAGAGGCTGGTGAGTAGTGGATTAAGCCAGTTTAGGCTTGTGAGTTCACCGTCATTGTATTTAGAATTACCAGAGAGGGGAGGAGATCAGGAGAACTGGGTAGTCCCGGCGTTGCCACTGACTAACCCAATTATATTGTGAAGCTCCAATGTGACAGTGTAGATGGAAAGCGTTAGTATAGTTACATATTCTTAGGAATGCTTGTACCGCAAGAGGAAGCTATCTGGAAAAGCTGTGGAACAATATTTGTTTTCTAGTTCTCCACCCTACAATCAAGGAATCCATCCCTATTTTGCAGGGCAAGCATAGGATTAACTGTTTCATCCTTCACCCAGGAAATTCAAGTATTGTAGGCAAGACAGCTAGGAGAATATCCCCAAATGTTCAAAAGCAATCATACCATCTGGAGCAAGATGCAAGGGTAGGTTTTCATTCACTAAGAGGCATAGAGCAAAGAACTGCATGTCCATGGATAGCATTTTCTGTTCTTTGCCCGGTCCTCCGTTAGGCCTAGTTTCCAGTTATTTAGATATCAACTGTCCCTTGCTTTTCATTCTGTCCTCTTAGTGCAGAGAGTGTGAATGCAGAGAGGGAAACTGTTTTGAAATCCTGAGGGATTGAAAGAGCATAAAGAGATTATTCAAGACAATTCTTTTCCATCCTCTTATTCATACATAGAATCAGCTTCCAATTACTCATGGTGTAATGGAGGTTAGAGTAGCTCAAAGGAGGATGACCTTTGCATTTGAAGAAGGTCAAAGTCACACCGAAACAAAAGGAAGAGCTTCAACAGCAGCAGTGGACATTACCTCCTATCCTAGAAGTAATTTTTCTATATGATATGCCAATCTTTCATTACCTTGCATAATTGAAATAGGCTGTGGGTCTGAGGTAATGATAGAGTTATTTGTTTTGGGTCGCTACGATATAAGGTATGTTTGTGAACTTGTCAGACATTTCACACTGAGTTCGCTTAAAACGGGCATTTACTTTCTGTGCAGTTCTTTTGCAACCTCTGGTGTACTTTTTCTTTGCCTTCAGCAGTAAAATATAATGGTTAAGAATTGGACTCTGGAGTCAGGGCCATCTGCCTGGCTTTGAATTTTGGTTCCACCAACATCTTGAGCAAAGTGTGTAATCTAAGTCCTATCTGGGAAATTGAGACAGTAACAGCCTTATCATGGGAATTAAATGAGATAAAGCATTTAGGATGCTTGCCACTGTTTCTGGCATATAGTAACCAAATTTGCTGCATGTTGTTACATTTTGGATTTTTTATTTAATCAAAGCTCAATTGAAGCAAAGTAATTTTAGTTTACTTAAAATGTGCAACATTCACATGAAGCTGAGAGTGAGAAGTAAACCAAGAGGTGGGATTTTCTGAACAGTCAAAAACTAAACTGTGCTTCCTGAAACCATCCTTTACTCTCTTTAAACTCTTCAGTGTAGTCCCTCATGTGGTGAGATCACTGAACCTAACATGTGGCAGGATACCCCTCCACAACTCAGGCCAGTCGGGTGGAATTGTTGGCTTTGCCATTGCCATTGTCAGCTTTAATGCTGAGAGACTATATTATATTCTGTTTTTTTACTCAGCATTATTATTTAGGGTCAGGGGTGATTATGCACTTAAGAATGGAAGTACAGTGCTCGCTTCTGCACATATACTAAAATTGGAACGATACAGAGAAGATTAGAATGGCCCCTGCACAAGGATGACACGCAAATTTGTGAAGCGTTCCATATTTTTTGAAAAAAAGAAAGAAAGAATAGAAGTACATTTTTTGGTAAGTTCTAGAACTTTGACTCAGGCTTATGAACAATTAGCTAGAGGACTTCAGGCCATCCACTTTACCTTTCTTTCTTCCTTCTAACATGAAAGTTATAGTAATCTTATAAAGGCCCCTTCTACCTCTAAAATTTTATTAGAGTAACTTGTCTGTATATATATAACTCTATCAGCCTGGTGGTGTAGGTACTTTGTCATTTAAGTCTTTTACATCTGCCAGTTAAGCCCATTGGATTCTTGCCTGCATAATAGATTTCAATGACCAATTTAAGCTCTTCTCTGACAGCCTTATGTGTAAAGCGTGCCTGGCAATGACTTGTTCTATGGCTTCAGTCTTTCAGGCATGATTCCCTTTTCCTCTGAGTTTTGATAGCATTTGGTACATCTTGGCCCGGCATTTACCATATTGTACTGTGATTTTTTCCCTTTTATATCTTTCTCCCTCATAGGCTTTGCATTCTTTTTATTTTTTATTTTTATTGACTTTAGAGAGAGAAGAAGGGAAGGGAGAAAGAGAAACATTGATGTGAGAGAGAAACATAGATCTGTTGCCTTCCATATGTGCCCCTACCAGGGATCAAACCCACAACCTGGGTATGTGCCCTGATCGGTAATTGAACCCACAGTCCTTTGGTGCACAGAACGAAGCTCCAACCAAATGAGTCACACTGGCCAGGGCAGGCTTTGCATTCTTAATGGAATCACCTTGGTATCCTCCTTGACTTACATGATATAATGCAAGATAAATCATAAGGATGAGTTTAGAAATGACTGCAGAACTCAGTGACTCATGAGAACTAGAATCCAACTTGATATCATCTAATAGAGGTAAGAGTTGTAGACCCTCCAAATAGGAAGAATATGCAAATAATTTATAATAGAATCAAACAGTAAATAGATGTTTTGAATCTAATCAAGGGATGATAAAACTTGGAGGGAAAGCCCATATTCAAATCAGACTTGAGAATTAGTGTACTAAAAAACAAATGACATGGACTCTAAAATCATGGATTTGGGGACTGAGAGACTTTATTGACATAAAAGAGGACTCTGTCTGCTCTCACTGTGGTCAGGAAAATCACCCTAGATGTCTAGGAGCTGGCATTCCTGCCAACATTTCTGTCTCAGGCCCCTGATAAGATAAACTTCATATTCTCTTGGAAAGGTGGTCTCTAATTCTCTTGGGATGACATTGTTACTTTAGTGGGTATCTTTAACCCTAGGAAGAACTAGAATTAAACAGAGGTGATGAAATAATTCAAACTTAAGAATTTTGTCTTTTTTTCTAAGTTTATTTAATATCTTTAAAATTTTGCCATTTTGAGGATAATTAGCACCTACCCTATATAATAGAGAGCTAATATGCTAATTAGACTGGACAGCCGAACAACCTTCTGGATGTCCTTCCGGATGACCTCCTGGACGAAGCTGGGGCTGCGAGGGTCAGCCAAGGCAGCTGGGGCTGCGAGGGTCAGCCAAGGCAGCTGGGGCTGCGAGGGCCGGCCGGGGCTGCGAGGACTGGCTGGGGCAGCCATGGCTGCGAGGGCAGAGCCCCTTGCGTGAATTTTGTGTATTGGGCTTCTAGTATATATATAAAAGCCTAAGTGACTGTTATGACTGGATGACCAGCTGGTAGCTATGACATGCACTGACCACCTGAGGGCAAACGCTCAACCTAGGAGCTTCCCCCTGGTGGTCAGTGCACTCCCACAGCCAACTTTCTGCGGCTGGCCAACCTCCCACGGTTCCTCCTCCCACCCCCATCAGCCCCTATTGCTGGCCAGTCCAAGGGACCTCACTGGTGCACGAATTCGTACACCGGGCCTCTATTCTATACTAATAAAAGTCCAGGCATCACAACCGGAACGACCAGAGACCAGACCACCATGGCCCCTCACAGGTCTGGCCCCGCCCCCAAGCAAGTGGTTAGGGGCAATCAGGCAGGCAGGAAGAGTGGTTAGGGGTGATCAGGTAGGCAGGCCAATGGTTAGGGGCGATCAGGTAGGCAGATGGCCCCTTGCAGGGCTGGCCCCGCCCCCCAGCAAAGAAGGAGGGAGGCCCAGGCCAGCCAAGCCATCGCACCCCAGACTGTTGCCTGCAGAGGGAGGCCACCGGTGGCAGCGGAGGGGGGGCAGCACTGCACAGATGGCAAGCAGTGGCAGTGGTGGGGGTGGGGCCAGCTGCCTGCAGCTGGGGGAAGGAAAGTCCTGCTAGGTCCTGATCTCAAGCCAGGCCTAGCGACCCTACCCGAGGGGTCCCGGATTATGAGAGGGTGCAGGCCGGGCTGAGAGACCCCCCCTGAGTGCACGAATTTTCATGTACTGGGCCTCTAGTCCTAATATATAAAGAGCCAGGGTCCATCATGACCTAAATGACCAGATGGATGACTGAACACCAGGCTAGGGAGCTGAGGGAGCGGGAACTGTGGGCCCCCGGCTGCCCGTGGTGCGGCGGCGGAAGAGGGAGCTGTGGGCCCAAATGACCAAAGGACCAGTCTGGCTCTCACGGTGTGGCGGGGCAGGGCCTCAGAGGCTGTGGAGCCTCACAGGGCAGGGGCTGTGAGCA